GATAGGCCTAAGAGAATCCCAAAACTTATCAGCTAGGAACTTTAGTCATTCAAGGGAAATAATTCAATGGAAGGGAATTCAAATGCAAAATAGCCATATGTGACAATCATCCAGAAAATAATGACTCTGAAGACTTAAAGCTCAACTTGTATGTTCAAGTGCCATTTAGGTGAATCTCGATATTCATGAGGGGATTTTTAATTCTACTAAATTAACTTATATACATTAAAAACTACCATAGGTAAACATTAAAATTTCATGAGCTAGTTTTTTCTTAAAAGCAGTTAATAAAGATGAAATCAATCATTTCTCTGCTTTCTCTGCATGCACTGGTTTGTTAAACAAATTAGATGGAGGAGAGTTTTGTGTCAGATTTCTCTGAGATGAAGTAAAAAGAATTGATCGAAACAGCAAACACTGGTGTTCTTTATCAAAGTAAGAGAATTACCGAAAATGGAGGAACAGTGGTGGGAGTTTAATGCAGGGACCTATGAACCACAGAAGAACCCGAGTGTCAGGGAAAGGTCACCCCAGGGGCCTGCACTGCCAATGAAGTGCCCTTAACCATTAACTGAGTCTGGGTTCTACCAAGTTCCATTGATGATTCAGCCAATGTCTTCAGTGGAGTGGAAAAGGTAATAGAATGCTGGATATTATCCCAGAGCACTGATCCTTTTATCATCTTCTTCATGAAAATGAGAAAAGAAGAAAGGAAAGAGGAAGGTCTGTTAGTTTTTTTTTTTTTTTTTTTTAATAAGCTTCAAGGAAACACAGCAATAGTAGGTGTAAAATGTTTTGATACTTGTTAAAATTAACTGATTTTTTTTTCAAAATTAGGTAAGTTTGTACATGATGTGACATTGATGGCATTTTTGATGGAATTCATCTGTGTGGCTGTAACGGGGACACTGAGGTCCTCCTAGTGAAGGGTGTCCACTTTGAGACAGACATCCTTACTTACTGGTGAATGAGGATGTATGTTGGGCTTTCCATAAAGAGCTGCCCATAGGATTGGGTGCAGTGCAACAGGTGTGTGCTGATAATTATTTGTTGAAGCTTCTGATGCATCCATATCCTTTATTACACCCTTTTCTTTTCTGTATATTTCTTAGTTTCTTTTATAGTAAATTTCAAAGTCTTCTTTTAATGCATAATTTTATTTTGTGAGATGTTTTCCTGATGTTATCTCAGAAAGAAAACAAAGGTGCTGGGCGCACACTTGTGATCCCAGCAGCTCAGGAGGCTGAGGTGGGAGATTGAGAGTTCAAAGCCAGCCTTAGCAACAGTGAGGCACTAAGCAACTCAGTGAGACCCTGTCTTTAAGTAAAATACAAAAAATAGGGCTGGGGATGTGGCTCAGTGGTTGAGTGTCCCTGGGTTCAATCCCAAAGAAAGAAGACAATTGTATTGGCACCAGCATGTAGGGTCACTATTATTGTGCTTGTTTGGCTCAGTCAGTGGAACAGATGAAGGAGATGCATGTGTAAGAAAAGGCAAGCATACAAACTAAGATATTGTTGATAATTCAATCTAAATGGCACATGCTTCAAAGGCACCACAGACTCACAAAGTTATTGTTAGGGTTAAAAATTAATTCAGGATGTCACATATGCTAGATGAATTACCAGAAGGCAGCAGATTTGCTGTATGTTGAAAATCATAACTTTGAGTTTTATTACTTTATTGTAAAATAAATCAATGCAGGATAGTTAAGTTCTGGCAAAAACACAGAGATTTTTGAGGAAATATCGAAGAATAACAAAACACTATAGAAATATCAAGATCATAAATAAGTAACAGCAGAGATACACTGAAGCCCAAGATAAAATTCCAATATTTAATTTTTTTAACTAAGTAATTTATTGAACAAAAGAAAACAAAATCATATTTTATCTAAATTACCTCTCGTATTAGGGAAATAAATTTTTTCAATACATCAAAATTACACATAAAGAAAGACATTGTGGGGCTGAGGTTGTGGCTCAGCGGTAGAGCACTCACCTAGCATGTGCAGGGCCCTGGGATTGATCCTCAACACCACATAAAAAAATGAATGAATGGAATAAAGATATTGTGCCCATTTACAGCTAAAACATACTTTTTTTAAAAAAGGGAGTCACTGTGTATTGAAAAAATTCAAAGTTAATGACAGAGAAAAAGAAATCTATAAAACTAATCTCACACAAACACATATTTTGAGAAATATTAATAATTAATTCAGGGCTGGGGATGTGGCTCAAGCGGTAGCGCGCTCTCCTGGCATGTGTGCGGCCCGGGTTCGATCCTCAGCACCACATACAAACAAAGATGTTGTGTCTGCAGAAAACTAAAAAATAAATATTAAAAAAAAAAAATTCTCTCTCTCTCTCTCTCTCTCACTCTCACTCTCTCTTTAAAAAAAAAAAAAAAAAAAAAAAAATAATTAATTCATGGAGAAACAGTTTAGAGTTTGTTATTAAAAGACTTCGGTAATTAGTTCTTTATGGTAAATTTATACTGTACCTAGTAAAGTATAACACACTGAAGCAACAATACAAAGGACAAATCTAGATGAATATATTGAAGAATATTTTTCATAATCTGGGGTTAAAGAGACATTATTATTCATGCCTCAAAGTACTAATCATATTATTCAAAGTAAACTCATACTAATATTGGTAGAAATTATATTAAAAAACAAAAATTCTCAAATATGTGAAGAAGTGGAAATTATTGACTATAACCTCAGCAATAATACTAATTAAATGAACACAATATAAAACAAATAATGGGAAAGTGTACAGACTCCTTAGGAAAAAGAATAAGCTTGCAGAAAGAAAACGGAAGATGAAGTCAGCGGTGCAGAAGAAGTCCATAAAACAAATTTCTCACCCACATATCAACTGTTTTTCTGAGGAGCAGGGTTGTGTCCCCAAGCCCACTTAAAGCAGCCATAGAAGGCGGATCTTTACTCCCAACAGTCCTTAAGCCCAAGGGATCAAATTCTAGGGATGGAGATGAAGAGGGATCTGGGATAGAGAGAGAGAGACTGAATCTCATGAGCCATGGAGGTGCAGAGAGCACAGGTGGAGATCATGAGCCACTCGCCTTGCCTCATGGCCTGGTAAAATCAGGAAGATGTGTGCGCCACGGAGAATCCAGCACATGACTGAGTAGCTGCACCCCGACTGCACCTCTTGCCCAGCCCCCTGTAAATAAGCTTCAAGGAAACACAGTAGGTACACACTGAAACCCACACCAATGGGTGGGCCACCCTCCAAAGTAGCCCGCATTTCCACTTAAAGTGGAACTCCTTGCTTTGCCCCAAGACATCTCTCTTTTGAGACTGCCCCCCTCACACACACACCATTCTCCCTTGAAAGCGCATCTACTTTCCTAAATACATATCTATGTGTGCAGTTGGAGGAAAAAAATCTGTCTGCAGAATTCCCACCAATTGCTAACACTGTCCTTTTTGGGATCAGGAAAGAGAAGGACTATGTGGATATGTGTCTCAGTGGATATTTAGTTTTGTACACACATGGATTCATTGAAATACACTCAGTAAAACTTATAATTCCCAAGTTTGAAATGGAAAAACTAGGAATCCCCCAGAAATTTCCAGCATAATGAAAATAAATGACAAAACAAAAACAGTGAAGAAAAATAAGGTGATAAGGAATGACATCATCTGGAAGATAGATTACAAGTGAATTCAAACAGGAAACACACTCTTCCACAGAGAGTGAGTGGGAATCTGAGCCCTGGCGTAAATGAGAACCTGAGAGGCAACCCTGCTGTGCAGGGACTCAGACAGAATGCCTCCTGGTTCCCGAATCTCACAGTTCTGTGAAGACATGGGGAGGTACAGCAAAGTGCTCCTGCTCCCAAGTACAGGGAAGAGGAAATGCCTGCCAAAGGGCATCTGCTCAGAATCATTTCCTCTGAAGAATGACTATCTCACAAACTGGGGTTTGCGTTGGAGTGAAGCAACACTAAAGTTGAAATAGTACACAGGTTGCTAAGATACAGGGACAGATGAGATGGGCAGATAATCTCATAATCTGACTACAAGCCTATTTATATCAGGGCTGGTCCAGAGGGCAGCCTGGCCTTGCAAAGGAGAGTGTCGACTGAGGGTGAGAATAGCACTACACAGGCGCCTACATGATTTGGTTAGAGTTTAGAAGAATATTTGCCTGTTGTGAGTATTAAGACCCTGATTAGTCCATATTTCACAATGTGTGTGCTAACTTCAGCTGTGCCCTTTCTGAAAGGGAGAGGCTGAGGTGCCTGTCGTTGGACTGATAGACATGATTAAGAACCTTCCACTGATAACAGAAATTCAGGGTCCTATTGTTATGGACTGTGTTTCGTGCTGCCTTCCCTTTCCCAAAACAAAAGAGCAAGAGGCACATACACAGGCCTAAGACCTGCACACAGATATCAAGTCTGTCCTGGTACGACCTCCCACCGCCTCAGTACTGAACCTTTTGGAACAAGTGCTTCAAGGGAACCCTGTTCAGTACCCGGCATGGAGATGTTCCAGAGAGCAGGTAATTGGGATGCGGGAGGGGAAGCAGGCACCAGGCAGCACACAGACAACAATGGGGGTGGCCTGTGGATCCCCTCACAGGCACTTTCTCCTGGAGTGTGTCTGTTTCTATGTATCGGCTAGATGACAGCTAGCTAGCTAGTTATCATCTATATGAAGAGTTTTGATTCCAGCTTCAGAAGGATGATATAAAAATTATTCTCAAATTTCCAAATAAACTTCAAGCATATGAGGCTTAACTGAAATAAAAGCTACTTACCAAGTCTGAGTTTGCCTCCTACGGGGTACCAGTGTCACAGGGGATATCTGGATAAAGTTTCGAGACTTCATGACTGTGTCTCCTTGCTGGGAAGTGATGATCTCTGAGAACATGTGTGAATAAAGCAAGTTTCTGGACTTATTATACTATCATGCATATCTAAAAAGGAATAAATAAAAAGTGAATAATAAAGATGCCCAAAAGGAGTACTGGTAGCAGGTGGGGAAAACTAGTTACTTACATATACAAGCAAAATATCCATGTAGGAAGAGCAGAGATCACTGACATCAACTAAATGAAAAAAAACTAAGCACAGGACCAACCAGAACTGGTACTGAATTTAAGTGTTTGTCTACAAAATAAGACTTCTTCCCCCATTTCTAACAGCACCAAGGGTAGTAAAATTAGAGGAAGAGATAGAAAGTCAGCCGAGTTTGAAATAGGATTCAGAGTGTTGCAAATGGAAACTGTGGTCCTATTCATTTAGCAGTTCAACAAATATTTATTAGATACCCTATAAGTTTCGGGCACATTGCAAGATATGTAGGATGTATCAGGAATCACAGTATAAAAGAAATTTCCCTACATGGAACTTACACTGTGGTTGATGGAATCAGTCAACCAGAAATTCATCTACAGTATTAAGTAGCATAGTATTTTACAAGACCCTATTACAAACAGAAAAAATAATCAGAACATAGAGAAAAGTCAAAGGGCTAGGTTGAGATTGCATGTTGGATATCCTTGGCTGGATTCATAGTAAGAATGACATTTGAGGAAATACTTTAGTTTGGGCAGGATGGACATCTGTATTCCTTTTATTAGATAGGAAAGTATTCTTTTGTTGTGAGGAAAGACAATTATGCTTACAGCATTCAATAATTAAATTATACAATCTGTGGGATACTGACAGCAGCTCAGTTTTTCTCTTTTTAGAACAAGGACAGTGTCTGTTAGTATAAGGAGTGTCTGTCTTGCTTAACTCCTTTGCAGGTATGAATTGTACTGTAGCAGTACCCAGGATCTATATACGTATTTGCAGTACTGGGGGTTTATCCCAGTGGTGTTCTTCCACTGAGCTACATTGCAGCCATTTTTGAGAAAAGGTCTAAGTTGCTGAGGCTGGCCTCAAACTTGTGATCCTCCTGCCTCAGCTGCCTGAGTCGCTGGGATCACAGACTTGTGCCACCAAGCCCAGAGAGGAATTACATTTTATAATAGAAGAAAAATGTTACAAATGTTTCCTTTACACAAAATGTATTCAAACATTGACCAACACCTTAAGGCTAAGTCCATTTTCTTAATCTGTATAAATCAAAGTTGGCTTCCCCACATCCCCCAAAAAAGACAGATGGCCAATTTTGGAGAATAAGCATCAGGGTGATATTTTCTTCCAGGAGACTAGTATGTTTAAAGATAAAGCCTCACCTATACTCTGAATAAGAAACACGATGCTTTGGCCTTGCTTGGTAGAACACACCTGTAATCCCTGGCAGCTCAGGAGGCTGAGGCAGGAACATCCTAAATTTGACGCCTGTCTCAGCAACTTGGCAAAACCCTGTCTCAAAATAAAATATAAAAAGGGTTGGGGGTATACTCAGTGGTTTAACACTTCTGGATTCAATCCCTGGTGGGTGTGTGTATGTATATTTATGATGTACATATGTATTGATGATGCCATGGAGTCACAAACTCACATTGGATATATGCATGCTCATCAACTTCTCAATCTTATGTCAAGTTTGGAGATAATACTCCAATAATGCTTTCTGGAATAAGACCATTCAAGTAAGACTCTGTTACAGTACCAAGAATATCTTGATAGAAATTCATGTCTAAAAAGTACTTAGGCCTAGCGAGGTGTGGTAGTTCACACCTATACTCATGGATACCCAGGAGGCCAAGGCAGGAGGATTGCAAGTTCAAGGCTTGTCTCAGCAATTTAGCAAGACCCTATGTCAACAAATACAAACATAGGTCTGGGGATTTCAGGAGAACACCCTTGGGGTCAGTCCCCACTACCACAAACAAAAAAGGACCACCAGGCACAGTGGTTCATGCCTATAATCCCAGCAGCTCGAGAGGCTGAGGCCCTAAGCAACTCAGTGAGACCCTGTCTCTATAAATAAAATATAAAAAAGGGCTGAGGATGTAGACTTGGGAGTTGAGGCAGGAGGATCCCAAGTTTGAGGCTGGGCCCCACAGCTCAGCAATACCTATCTCTAAATAGATAGATAGATAGATAACAAATGGGGTTGGAATATGTCATAATGGCAGAGTATTTCTGAGTTCTATCCCCAGTACCACAGAAAATAATTCAAATTTTTTTGAAGTTTTACAATTAAGAAACAAATACTGCAAAGCAAATAGTGGTAAAATTGTGGCTATTGAAATGTATTCTTACATCTAACTCAAAAGTTGCCACCATGGAAAACTGAAATGGGATCACAGACTTGTACCAGCAAGCCCAGCGAGGAATTTCTAAGACGGCCAATAAGCAAAGGAAGGGATCAGGAGGAGGAGGGCAGTAGTTCTTTTGTTGTTTGTTTGTTTTTGTTTACTCAGTGGGAAGAGGGAGGCACAAAATGTTAAGGGCCTGGAGCCACCACAGACAGGTGCGGCACTGGGCAGAATCTACAGTGCTGGCCCCCAGGCGAGGGATTGTGGATGAAGCATCTGGACATAGCTTAGCCCCAGGCACACGTTTCACTCCCACACCTGACCCCCCTCAGCCTGAAGGCATTACCTGCAGCTTGACAACTTACACTCCGCATGTGTGTTGAAACACAATGACCACACAAGAACCTCGGGCTGGTGGCTAAGCTGGACTTGAGGCACAGTGTAATGCTGAAATAGCGGCAATTACCACAAGCTCAAAGAACATATAAATACCCCGCTCAGGAAGGATGAACATAGACAGGAGAGATTGCAAAGACTGGAGTAAATATTTAATGTACAAATGCCATCATATGCCAAGAAGAATCAAGAACTTTCAGGAAAGCATGATCTTACCTAATAAACAAAATATAACATCAAAAATAGATCACGGAAAAGTGAACATGTGAGATGGAAATGAACCTGTGAGAGCTAGAACAGAATGCTATAGTTTGGTTGAAATGGAGCAAGATTTAAAGCCTGATCTCAGTACAAAAGTGGACACGATTGGCATTTCAAGACAGTTTACAGAGAGCTTATGTAAACACATGAAAAGAATTTACATAATACTTGCATTTCAGATGATAAGAATCAAATGAGAATTTTTAAAGCAATCATGAGCATGTTCAATTTCAATTTTTTAGAAAGGCAGACTCTAGAACTTTGTAATATTTTGCTAATATTTTAATGTTTTCATTTAATGTTCCACTAGTCAAGGGGAGGGGGAGAGAGGGCACTGGGGTAGGAAAGATGGTGGAATGAGACTGACTTCATGACCGTAGGTACATGTATGACTGCATGAATGGTGTGACTCTACTTCATGTACAACCAGAGAAGTGAAAAAATTTCTCCATTTGTATACAATGAATCGAAGAGCTTTCTGCTGTCATGTGTAACTGATTAGAATACAATTTTTTAAAAAAAGAGGGCTATGATGATCATCTCAGTCCACCATCTTTCCTGCCCCCATTCCCCCTCCCCTCCCTCCCCTTTGATGGACATCATGACCCTAGGTACATGTACGACTGCACTTATGGTGTGACTCTACATCAAGTACAACCAGAGAAATGAAAAATTGTGCTCCATTTTTGTACAATAAATCAAATTGCATTCTGTTGTCATATATATATAAAAAAAAAAACATGTAAATGTGTTGTTGAATCCCCAAAGCCACCTCAAATTCAATAATTCAATAGAAAGACTCAAGGAACTGGGTAAAGATGTTAGTGAATATATTACAAAGAAATTCATATCAACAAAGAGCTGGGGGGCGAGGTTAACTCATTAGTAGAGCACATCCACGGCATGCATGAGGCTTTGGGTTCCATACCTGGTACCCAAAGTTAAAAGAAAATAAAGAGGTGCACAGGGCAGAATCTAGAGAGCAAGCACAAGTATCAAACTTGCCCCTCCAGTGGAGTCATGCAAACAGTACTTAAATCTCCAGCAATAATGTTTGACCACACACAAGAATTACTGCCAACCAGGGAAACTCACCCATGCCTTGTTCCACTTTTTATTTTTGTATGAAGGATTAAACCGGGGGTCATTAGCTACTAAGCCACATCTCCAACCCCGCTCCCCCCACCCCGCTGCTTTTTAAAAAATATTTAGAGACAGGGTCTTATAAATTGCTTAGGGCCTCATTAAGTAGCTGAGGCTGGCTTTGTACTCACAATCCTCCTGCCTCAGCCTCCTGAGCCACTGGGATTACAGATGTGCATCACCAGGCACAGAGGTCCACACTTTTTGTTGTTGTTTTGTCACCTAGACAAGGGACACTTGTGCAGCTCCCCTTAATTACTTGGCCCCTACAGACGTCAGATTAGTATTAGGAGACCTAAGGTCCTATCATAAAACACATTACTAACATAAACTATCTGGCATGGCTCAAGGCCCTGTGTGAACAAAACATTCTTCTCAGGCATAAAGTTTTAAGGTCTTGGAGGTGATTTACCACAGGAGATGGCTCTATAGGTTGAGGTTTCTGTAAACCCCTCATCTTAAATAGCCATAGTCCCCCGAACATTTCAAGACACAGTGTTCAGATGGGCACATCAACTCCAGTTTACCATCACTCATAATCAATGTTTCTGTAACAAAACATGGTTCTCATCTGATTCTTGTAGTGCAAACATCAGTAACACAAACCTCCCCAATTCTGGCTGCTAAAGCACGATTCTTTTATAGGCCCCAGAGAACAGTTTCAGTCAACAGTAATGGACACTGTGTAACCTCACATGAGAAAAAGAAACCAATTTATACTTCCCCACAAAGGACACGTGGTCCCCATAACTGTCCCCACCTCTGGTGACTGCCAGACCTTCAAAAAGTCCTGACAATCAGATCACAAGGCTAGTCACAATAGGTCCTACAGTCTATCTCTGGAGGCCTGACAACAAAGCAAGTAAGACCAATTCTGTTCTCAAGCCATCTCCGCCAGTGAACAGAAACTTTTGAGATGAAATATGGCTTACTCAGGTGTGGGGGTACATGCCTATAATCCCATGATTGGGCTAAAGGAGGAGGATTCTAAGTTCAAGGCCAGCCTCAGCAGAATAGCAAGATCCTATCTCAAAGCAAAATAAAAAGGGCTAGGGATGCAGCTCAGTGGTAGAGGGCTTCTGCATTTAATTCCCAGCACTGAAAATTTTTTTAAAAATAGAAGGGAGAAAGAATGTGGCTTAAACATTAAATTTTTACTCTCACACATGCATGTAGTTCCCAGACTGATGGCCTGAAGGCTAGAAAAATTCATCATAAAGATCATAGGTGTCTCATAATGTGGCCAAAGAAGGAAAGACTTGGCACCAGCAGAAGACAAACTGGGTTTTGTTGGTCAAAGCTGGTTAGGGCCATATCCTAGTCGGGTGGAATGACAATAAACAAAGGTCCAGGCTACTTATGATTCCTCTGGAGAGGGGGACAGCAAAGAAGTCTGAGCACACTGAGGTGACTAGCAAACACCAACTGAGATGATGGCTTCTACTGTAGAGATTCAGTGTGAAAGTACTCAGAAAACAAAATATAGCTGCTTAAAAGCTGCCTGAGCCTGGTACTCATAAGAAATGTCCCCACCATGAATGTTCAGATGCATGGTGTTCACTTCCTGCTGATGACTCCATTACTGAGGCTTTCCAATGTGTTGATGCAATAAATATGGAGATAGCACATTCCCTGCTATCTCCATCTCATTCTAGGGCCTTTCTTTAGTATGAACTTTCTGGTGTAGAATAAGGTTGGATCTTTGGCTGAAGCCTTTCCCACATTCACTGCTCAATTATAGCAGACCACTGACTGAAGACTATTCCACATTTACTGCACTCATAAGGCATTTCTCGGTTTGAACTTTGTGGTGCTGAGTAAGTTGGCTGCTTTGACTGAAGAATTCTCCACATTCACTGCACTCATATGGTCTTTCTCCCCTGCGAACTCTCTGGTGCTGTGTTAGGCCAAAGCTTTGACTAAAACATTTCCCACATTCGAAGCATTTATAAGGTCTTGATCCAGTGTGAACTCTTTGATGTTTAATGAGGGTAGAGCTTTGACTAAAGAATTTCCCTCATTCATTACACTCATATGGCCTTTCACCAGTGTGAACTCTCTGATGTTTAATGAGGCTGGGGCTTTGGTTAAAGACTTTCCCACATTCACTGCATTCATAAGGCCTTGTTCCTGTGTGAACTCTCTGGTGTTTAATTAGATTGGAATTGGAGGTAAAGAATTTTCCACATTCGTTGCATTTATAAGGCCTTGAGCCAGTATGGATCCTCTGATGTTCACTAAGGCTGGAGCTTTGGCTAAAAAATTTTCCACATTCACTACATTCATAAGGCCTTTCTCCAGTGTGAATTCTCTGGTGCTGAACAAGTATGTGTTTGTAGCTGAAGGCCTTCCCACATTCATGGCACTCATAAGGCCTCTCTCCAGTGTGCACTCTCTGGTGCTGAGCAAGTCTGTATTTTTGGCAGAAGGCTTTCCCACATTCACTGCACTTATAGCATTTTTGTCCATTGTGAAAAGCTTCCATATGCTCAATATTCTTTTGTTGCCTCCCTCTGCTTTGAGTGACCTGAAGCTGGAGATGGTTCAAGCTGTCTGAGAAGTCCTTCTTGGCCTCCGAGGAAATGAAACACTTCTTTGACTCATGGATACTGCAACTCCTCATACAGGAGACCCTGTTCTCATCTCTTCTGAAGAGTTCCTCTTCACTGTGCTGCTTCTGGTGTGGGTGACATTTTCCACATGCCCCACAGGGTTCCTTCCCAGAGCTGGTCCCTAGGCACTCGGCCAGATGCACATCACCTTCTGAGTCTAGGCCACATATCTCCCAGGGATGGGGCTTCTGGGTGGACAGATCTGCCTTTGTAGTATTTATTTGTGACACTTCTACAGAAACACTTTGTTCAGAAGATGCCTCCTCATTCCCAACTCCATGCCAACAACCTATAAACAGAAATGCTAGTGAAATATACATTAACATCAATAAGAAGGGGCAGCAACATCACAAATGTGTCCAATATTCCAAGGAACGAATCCATAGGATTTTTATAAGAATGAAGCATCTGGGTTTAGGCTCAGTAATGGGCTGCTCTACAGTACTGGGCCTATAAGTGTCACAGAGTAGAAACACAAGGATAGGCTACAGTACAAGGAAGAGAGGCAAAGTCCACAGCCTACTCCTCTCTGGAAAGAGTTTTCACCAGGCTCTTGGCTGGCTGGTGATACATGCATGCTTTGTGGAAGAGTGTGTTCAGGCCCAGGAAAATCCTATTGTACCCAAGTAACTAGTATCAAGACTATTTTAAGGATATGAGCAAACCTCATGACACATTAAGAGGAGGCTAACACTGAAGAGCATAGCATAGAAAGCAGTAGACAGGAAGAGGAGAGATAGAAGCCTAGGCAGTAGGAGAGAGAGAGATGAGAGATAATTCTGATCAAAAGTTAAGAGTAGAAATGATAGGTGGAAAAATATCAGAAATGAGAAGAGACAGAAATGAGGTATACAGCCCCTGGCCTTGACACCAAAAAAGTATCTGGCACAAAACATGTTCCTGTGATAATCTGAACACAGCTATTGATATCACATCTTTCCCCTGATGCTAATCACCAGGGCAGGCCTACTTTGAGGCCCTCTTGCTATGCCTGGAGTCATGTCTACTCTGTCATGTACCCAGGGTTTTCCTCCCAGCTCCAGTTGGACAATGGCATGGGACCCAGAAGATGCAAGTCCTAAGGAAAAGACAGAACAGGTGAAAATTCAGCACTGGCTGAGGGTAACCAGTTGCAGAACAACCTTAGGAAAGAAAATTAGCATTACATAATGAAGCAGCATTCTGCAGAAAAAGCCTAGTGGTCCCCACTAATGTGACTATGTTGGGTCTTTACAATTCCTGATACAGTCAGACCCCCCAAAATATCACTTAGAAGTGGGGAGAACCTGAAGCACAGAGGTGGAATAGTGCAGAGTGTGATTCTAGCAGGGAAAGGCTACGACAGAGAGGATCCACTGGACTAAATCCAAGTCTCCTGACCCACAAATCTTCCCTGAGAAGGCATCAGGGCAGCTGAGGTTGGGCATTCTTGTAAAAGGAAGCAGTATACACAGCCCAGCCTTGACACCTGTAGCACCTACAAAAGGGAACCAGGAACTGAAGCTGTGCCCATTGTCCATGTATGAGAGGAATAGAGCTGCCTCTGGAAAAAAGAGGAAAGGCAGAGCCCAGCTCAGGATGCGTAAGGTGAAGATGAGGGCCTTGCCCGTGAGGCGACAAGTGAAAGGCTTCCAGCATCACATCACGATACAGTACTCTCTGAGCCTCGTCAAGGGATTTCCACTCCTCCTGGGAAAAGAATACAACCACATCCTCGAAGGTCACAGAGCCCTGTGATGATGAAAAGAGTGGTGTCTCCAAGCAGATTGTCTCCCTGGAATCCCATGAACACACACCCACCCTAACCCACAATAAATCCCTGCTCATAATCTTCATCATCTCCCAACTAAAGGGCAATACACCCGTTTTCATTTCAAGTTTCGTTGAGCATGGGTCCAACCTTAAGCAACACAAAAGTGGGCAAACACATGCAATCTAAGCTCTGGGCCTGGTATGCAGAGCCTTCAAACCTCTCCTGTCGAACTATCAGCCTGAGAGTACCCAGGACCAAGCTTCCCAGACATGACCAAACTTGATCTCATCCTTCTCTCTTAAGGTCCTACTTCCAGAGCCTTGAGAAAATTAGTTCACACTCATCCCCTGAGTATATCACTCATTAGATCATATCTCCCACATTTAGCTGATCTCTACTACCACCACCTAGATCACAAAATTGGCATTTCTCTCTGGCCTCTTTATATGCTGTCATACGTACAACACCCAGAAAGTGCTTGGCAAAGGTAACAGGACCCTACTAAGCCCCAGAACTCCAATGGCAGCCTCCAGTCCTACTTGGAAAGCTTCCCCAACTGGTGTGACTTTAGTCAAAATACATGCAGATCTAAATACCCCTGACGTCCTTAACTTTTCTATTATACATAATGTCTGTTTGCCAGTTACAATGTCTGTCCACCATCACTCAATGAATACTTATACTCACTAACACCAAGACTTAGGTCAACTAATCTGACATTGTGATAATTCAAGTCCCACCAAAAACAAAAACAAACAAACAAAAAAAACCCAAAAAACTGGTGAGTCATGGAAGCATGAAAAAAGCACCAGATCAACTTCACTACTTACCTCGACTACTGCTTTGCCTCCTCATCCACCTCATATCCACTTGCCCATGAAAACACTGACCACCTGCTGGACCTTCTCCTTCCCCTTTCCTGCTGATGACCACCAATCTTCCTTGTATTTGTGATCCCCCTCCAGTTGCCCAAGCAAGAGACTCAACAGCTACCACCCTCTTCTTCATTGTCCCCTAACAGCAATATCACAATGACTTGAAAAAACACACCCCTCCTATAATGGACCTAGAGTTCCAATTTGTTCCACATCCCAAATGTCATACAATGGATCAGTCTATTTTGAAGCTCTCCACAGAACTCAAGACATATCCAGCTATCTACTCATCACTCCTCTCTGGGATTCTCTAAAACATCTGAGACACAACCAAACCCTGACTCCTAGTATTCTCACTGAAGAACACTTGTACCACTCACTGGCTTTCCCATTTCAGTTGATAACAGTTCCATTCTTCCAGGACACCTCCATGACTCATCAGCCTGTCATGCTCCCCATTTCAAAATCTGGTCAGCCCTATTATAAAAATAAATCCAGAAGCCAAAAGTGTCTTCCATCTCCACATCCACCACTGTAGTCTGCCATAACCAGTAAGATCCGGACAATGTAAGTGGTATCCTTAATGGTCTCTCTTTGTTCCTCTCCCTGACTGCATTCTGTATTATGCAACCAAGGGAAGCATATTAGGACCTGAATCAGATCTTCTCTACTCCAAAAATTCCATGGCTGCCACCATTCTCAAGACAGTTACCCAACTTCACAGGACACCACTGCATGCCTAACTCTGAACCCCTTGCCTTCTGTCCCCATCTACAAGTCCTAGAACACTCCAATCTCAGTCTTATCTCCAAGCATTTGTACCTGCTGATCTCTGCACCTAAAATAACCTTTCATACCTCACTCCAATGATTGCCCCAAATGGAAGCCTTTCCATGTAACTTCTAACCTTGCCGTAGAAACCTAGGCTTAAGGCTTCTCTACCAGCCCCAGACACCAGGGGTAAGAAGAGTGACAACAGAGTTTGAAGACATTGTCGCTCACCAGTGCAGGGTTCACACACGCCTCTGCCGCAAGAAGAACCTGTGGGGAGAGCAAGGCCATGTCACTGTAATTCACAGCAGGGGCAGAGATAATAAAGGAAATAGTATAACATTTAACATTTCAGGTAGAAACAAATGCTGAAGGGGAAGATACAGTACACACGAGGGGAGAAGAAGTCATGACTTCCTGCACGTGTCATGTGGGTATCTTGAGGAAAGGCTTTGGGAGTGGCAAAAACACGTTCAAGGTCCTCCTCCTGGGGTTGTGTTTGAGAAACACCCACAACACCAGTGTGGCTGGAGCCCAATAAGCCAAAAGTGCAAGGCAGGCTGCTGGTGGAGAAGCAGTGGCACATATTACACGATTCAGTGGTTTTAGGCCTACATATATCAAAATTAAGTACTTAGATGTCCAAGACTATTTCTGACACCTGCATCGTATTCCATCTCTTCTTGTGTCAATAATATATTCTCCTCTTCCTTTAGCTCACAGTTAATAGTCAGTATTTATAGCTAGACAGTTATGTGACTTGGTGTACTTCCATTTTATACTTATTTTGGTTTTATCATATATTATTTTATATAAAAATTATAACAATTAATGAAAATTCCTCTTTACCTAGTTCACAGACCAAATCACAAATCTGGCTAACTAAATTCTGATAAATTTAAACTAGTATAGCACTAAATGAGAGAATTCAAAAATATTTTTTAGTATCAATTCATACACACACACACACACACACACACACACACTGAGGATCTAATCTCAGAGCACTTTACCACTGAGGTACATTCCCCAGCCCTTTTTATTTTTTATTTTGAGAAAGAGTCTAAGTTGGTATTGACCTTGAGATCCTCCTGTCTCAGCCTTCTGATTCACTGAGATTACAGGCATGCACTACTGTGCTGGGCCTCTATTCATATTTTTGACAGTCAGATTTTTCCAAAAATATATGGACAGATTATTTAAAATGCATTCACTTTGTTTTTTGTGAATGATACTTTATACCTTTAATTCTGTAGATGTTTTTCCCTGCTGTGGTAGTTCCGAACCATTTACTGACTGCATTCAAACTAATATTCTTCCCATATTTTTTATTGGTATATTATAATTATACATAATGGTGGGACTTACTATTACACGTTCATATGTACACACAATTTAACAATGTGATTTGGTCAATGTCATGGTTTGAATATGAGGTGTCATCCAAAAACTGTTAATGTAGGAGGTTGAAATGATTAGATTATGAGAACTGGAACCTAATCAGTCCATTCTGGTTTAAGTGGACTAACTAGGTGATAACTCTAGGCAGGTGGGGTATGGCTGGAAGGGCAGGTCAGTGGGTGCATGCTCTGGAAGTGTCCATCTTCTGTGAGTCCCCTTCCACTCTCTGTTTCCTGGCTACCATGAGCAGCTCCCCTCTGCCATTCTATTCCACCATGGTGTTTTGCCTCATCTTGGCCCAGAGCAATGGAGCCAGTCCACCATGGACTAAACCTCTGAAACTGTGAGCCAAAATAGACTTCCTTCTCTAAGTTGTCCTTTTCATGTATTTCAGCAGCAACAACAACAATGACAACAAAAAGCTAACCTAGTCAAAGCTGCCAATATTTCCTTCCTCCCCTATCCTCTCCCCGCCGGTCCCTTTCCTTCCTCTAGTGTTTCCCTTTGATTACCATAAGACAGTGCCATCCACCTTTCTTTTCATTTGCCCTCTCCAGCTTTCACATAAGAGAGAAAACCTACAACTCTCAACTTCCTGAGTTAGGTTAGTTTCACTTAACATAATGCTCTCAAGTTCCATTTATTTACCTGCAAATGACATTAATTTCATTCTTCTTTATGGCTGGATAAAACTCCATTGTATGTATGAATGTGCATATACGTGTGTGTGTGTGTCTGTATATTTTCTTTATCCATCCAATGATGAACATCTGATCTTCCATAATTTGACTACTGTGAATTGTGTTGCTATACACATGGTATGCATGTATCACTATAGCATGATGACTTTTAATTCTTTAGGATAAATGCCAAGGATTTATATAGCTAGGTTATAAAGTGCTTCGATTCCTTGACTTTTGAGGAAAATCCACAAGGATTTCTGTAATGGTTGTGCTAACTTAAAATCCCACCAAAAGTATAAAAATATTTCCCCCCTTATCTTCTCAAATATTTATTACTGTCAAACCTAAATTTTATTAAAGGAGTTGTGGTCAGAGCCAAAGGAAATATACTTAGCCTCCAACAGTTTAAGGTTAAACTTAAAAGAAAGGAAGCTAGAACCTCATCTTAGTTTGATCCTTGCTATACAAAAAGATAAAAAATAAAAAACATAATCCTGCTATGAGAACAAAATATCTTCTCAATTCTAAGCATTCTATTGGTGTTTGAAACTTTATTACTTTTTGTCCTTACAACGATTAATTTCTGCACTTTAAAAACAAGTATTTTAGCAAAATATCTAGATTTGTCATGACATCAGAGATGATTTAAGAATGTTAGAAGAGTACACTTAAAAAATGAAAACTCTGTTGAATGTGCATACACTGTAAATTTATATAATATATAAGTGTGTTGAAAATGAACCCCCCAAAATAATAGTTCTATTCAAAAGCTAAAAAGATAAAATTAGTAACATAGTACAAATAAGAACAAAAAACTGGAAATGTTAAACTATAATAATTTCTATAAAAAACACACATTAAATTGTATGAGAAAAAATATAAAGGATCTACGTCTATCCCCATAACACCCATGCAATAAACACACCTCAATGTGGGACACAGCTCAGTGCTAGAGTGCTTATGTAGCATGTGCAAGGGTGTGTGTTTGATCCCCAGCACTTCCCCCTCAAAAACCAAACAGAGCTAATATATATAATATAAACAGAGATTAAATAAATAAACCTGAATAACATATATCTAATAAGAAGAAGAAAGACCACAAACAGCATCTTTAAACATGGAAAAAAGGCAAAACTAAGTAAGTTACTAAAGAAAAATAACACGAAGGGAAAAAAGCATGTCAAAACGGAGGCTGCAAAACTACTGTCTGTAACATATTCAAAGAAAGAGGGCTGGTATACCTCAGTTGGTAGAGTGCTTACCCTGCATGTACAAGGCCCTGGGTTCAATCCCCAGCACCACCAAAAACAAAATAACAACAAAAAAAGAGTTATCAAGTCAGTAAGGTGTAGAATAAGTATGGCAAGTAGGGGCAAAAAACATGGTTTATCATCATGTAAAAAATAAAACATTGACATACTGACAGTGTTAGATTTTAGTCTGGTATGCTTAGTAATGCTGCAATAAAAACTATGAACTATTGCTAAACAGTTCTCGAGAGCAGCTAGTAAAAGTAGAAAATCCCAAGTGCTTTAGAATTCAAGAAACCATTTCTAAAAAGGCACTATGTAACAGAGAACAGACAAAGTCATTTTAAAAAGCAAGGTTAAAGTGATTTCTGTAAAGAGACAATAATACTACAAAGCTACTAAGAAAAAAAAGTGTGATGTTGACACTGTGACATAAAATGTAGGTTGAACAATGAATGGGACAGAATACAGAGCTCACAAAGAAGCACATGGTTGATCTTGATTTTTGACCATAGTGTTGGTAAAGAGCATTAAAAGGTAGCTTTTAAGTAAATTGTTCTATGGCAACGGACTACCCAAAATATAAACTTACCACATGTTCTACAGAATATGCAAAAAGTCATTTTGGCCAGATAAAACTTAACTGGGAAGATAAAAATTAGACCACTTAAAAGTTAATAGAAGAGAATACATTTGCAACATGTGTACAGCAGATTTCTTAGACCAAAGATACAAGGTACTTGTATTATATAAAGACATATATAATAAATCCGACTAAATTAAAGTTCACGGTTGTTACTATCATACTAAACCATAACAACTGAAATAGGAAGTTACACAGTTTGAAACAATAAATGTCAATGTACAAGTAAATGCTTGAATTTAGTAAATAATCCCACAAATCAGTGAGAGAAAAATCTGAACTCAAAAAAGTGCAAAGCTTGCCTGCACGTACTATAATCACGGAATGCCAACAGTACTCTTCTTTTAAAATGTAGGAAAAATCTGCTGAGGGTTTACATCGCCCTGAAAGGTTAATAATCTTGAGAACTGTTTGCTAATCTTGTTCCCAGCATGCGCTGTCCCCAACTGCCAAACTGCAGAATGTATCCCCTCACCGGTTGCAGGCAATCCGCCCACTCGCCCTGACCCGTCAATGAACTTCCCTCCCTGCCCTCTCCAAGGAAAGTCTATAAGCTCTGCTTAAGCTGTTCTCAGGGCTCTTTGCTCTATTCAAGTGAGCTCTGAGCCCCAGCATGCTGGACCCCAATAAACCCTTTGCTGTTGCATGAGACAGTCTCTTGGTGGGCTCTTCCTCCGACGCTCGCCTGACCTTTACAGCCCAAGGTTTCTAAAGCTGTAGAATTAAGCAAAAAATCACAAACTACTAGTGGGCGTCTTCATTTGTGAAAGTTTGGAAAAACCCGGGGGGAAAAACCTAGCGTTAAACCTCTGACCACTTGTGGGAAAGGAGTTCCTACCTTCGACACCGCCCATGGAGTCGGCTTCGCAGCCCGGCAACCGCGGCCGGGGGCTAGGGACAGCGCTGACACCGCGCGTGGCCCACGGAGGGACAACACCCAAAGGCCTTCGGCTGACACGCAACGACATTTTATTCATCCAAGGAATAAAATGACAACGAGCGACACGTACAGACGTGCCCCGGGGCGCGGGTGCAGACGAACAGAGCAGAAAGGTTAAGGGGACACCGTAAAAGCGGGCAGTCGCCCGCCGCCTGGGGACCGCTGGGGCGGCCGCGGCCCGCGGGTCTCGCTCCCGGTCCGACACCAGCTCCGCGGCGGCCGCCGGCGCAGCGCGGGACGGTCCCGCGCGTTTCCAACTCTCGAGAACCCAGCGGGACAAGAGGCGTCAGGGCGGGACCGGCGGGCACGGGCGCGCGCGGAAACGCGAACCGCCGACCTCCGGGGCCGCCTTACCCGGGCCGGGCCCCGCGGCGCGGCCGCCGCCATCGGACTCTGCGCCCCTCCTCGGCCGGCGCGGCCGCGTCCAGCCAGCGAGCGTTAGGACCGCGCCTTCTCGCCGTTAATTTGAGCCGAGCCAGCGCCGCCCGAGCCCGAGTCTCCAGCGAGCGCGCGTGGCCCCGAGGAGGACGCCGGAAGTCCCGCCCAGGAGCGCTCCACCTGGCGGAAACGCCCCTCCCCCAGGCCTCCCTTGGCCCAACGCCACGAACGTGTCTCGCGCAGTGGCGTCTGGGTAATACCGTTCCCGCGGCGCCCGGGGCTCTGGCCAGGGTCCCTCTCCAGACCTTTGGGCTTTGGCACTGGCCACGGTCGGGGCCTGGGAAGTTGTGTCCTCAGGCCTTGCTGACGGAGCAGGGTGAAAACCAAACAGGCCTTGACAGGAAAGGAGAAAGGGACGTGGAGGGACAGAAAGCAGCTCTGGCTTCGTCGGAAATGAGGCACAGCCAGAGTGTGTCCTCCTGGGAGCGACCCCGACGGACGGACGGACGGACGGACACTCCATATCCTGAGGCATATTCAGTTACCATTGTTTTTTTGGGATGTGAGACTTACCTGCCAGTTTTGTCCAGGACTGCTACACAGCCAGGCCCATTTAGAAAGGAAGCACCGAACCTTAGATCGCTAGGAGCTGGGCACCGTGGAACACACGAGAACATGGCGCTCACAGGCTGAGGGAAGAGGATTGCAAGTGTGAGGCAGCTTAGCAACTAACCCAGGCCCTCTCTCCAAGAAAAAAGAGTATGTATCAGAGTGGTAAAGCCCCTGAGTTCATTCCCCGATTTAAAAAAAAAATATATATATATATATATTAAGAGTTTCTTTGCATAAAGAAGGATTTGTGAATCGGACAGTGCTGCCCCGGACCTGCGTGGGTAGCTGGATTTAAGATCACCCTGTGAACTGCAGGGGCACCAAGTAAGACACAGACACGATTTACCCTACACAAGCTTCAGGACAGGTTCCCTGCTCTCGCCTCAGGCTCCCCAAGAGGGAGCGCAAGAGAAAGGAGACAGGGAGAGCGAGACAAAGGGGGGGACAGGGAGGGAGAGAAAGCGGGGAGGAGAGAACACGTTGGGAAATGAGCTTTTATTGGGGGGGGGACTCTTATTCTTAGAAAGTTCTATCCAGAAAAGGGAAGAAGGGGCAGGGATACAAGGGACGGGTCAGTGTAACTCAACCCTGGGGGCACATCCCAAAAAGAAGACCATCGTACTATCCAGGCTAGACCCCGCCCAAACCAGAGCAAATGCAGTGGTTGGTCAGAATCTGCGGCATCAGGCCTGGAAGAGTGTGGGCATTCTTTGCGGCTCCCCCACAGGGCAACACTCAAAAGTTGAGAAAGATCGAGTGAGCACTGCCCACTTTCCACATGAGTGGAAAGTTTTATACCCAAGAAGAGCAAAGACCTCATTAGAATTGCTATAGCTAGGTATTGCCTTACTTGGGTATGTTAAGATGAGGCATTTGCTTTATTTGAATGTAGTTTGAAGGAGGTCCTTAGTTGTATAACCAGTAACTGATTGCCTATTGTGACAGCCTGATGCTCGTTTTAGTTTGTTTCTTTTAAGTTAGTTACAAGAAACATTTTCAGGTTAAATTCAGGCTTGCTTATGTAACAGCAAAGACAATCTCATTAAAAAGATCCTCAAATTAACAGCCTCTTTAATTATTTAGTGAGCTATTACTTGTTGGAGATGCACTACCATTGCATATTTCAGTCTCTATCCCTTACCATCCAGGTCTCCTTTTGTAGGCAGAGCACCAGATCCCTCCTATAGTGGGTCCCCTCCTTTCTAGAGGGAGGGATCATTAGAGATACTGACCTCCCCAGCTCTGCTCTCCAGCCTCAGCTCTCCCTTTTTCACCACAGGGCCTATCTGAAATTACAATTTTTGAATCCTTCCTAAACCTGATATCTATGGCATGCCCTGGTGTGTTTCCTATTCTCCACACTTTCAAAGCTCCAACTCAGTCCACTTTAACTCCAAACCTGAATGACCACTGGTCAATGAAGTAACATCTATGACTTGAAATGTCAGAGAATCGCCATGCTCCAAACTCAGTTCTCCAAAACCTGCTCCATTTTCTCAGATGTTAAGGCAAAAAATATGGGCTGGGCCTTCACTCCCCACTTTCTCAGTTACATTTGATGTTTCAGGAAATCTGTAGGCTCTAGTTTTCCAAGATCTCTATCTGAGATCTTATGATGTATCCCGTCTTTCCACTCCACCAGTTCTACTTCAACCAATATTCCCCTGGAGGTTTTGCAGTGGCCTCAAAGGTCTCTCTGCCTATCTTCTGGCCATAAGGACCAGATCTGCATAGAACTTAGCAGGCACCCCTCCACCCAGGTTTTAGCATTGTGTGTGGGGGTTCAAGAGTGCCTGGGGAAGCACTACCTCCCTCCTACCACCTCACGAGATGGACCTCCATCAGCTGAGCCAGGGAAGAGCCAGAAGATGGGGCAAGTGATCAAGACGGGGACAAGGACATTGGAGTCCCCAGCCTGGCTCAATTGAACCTCACACTCATCCCAGGGCAGGGGGACAACAGCCTTTTCTTCCACTTTCTTGCTTCATCACCTCAGTCTAAGCCAAAGTCCCTGAACAGGTTTAAAGCAAGAGAAAAGCCTAAGACTGCTGCAGGTGCAGTAAGTCCTGCGTTCACTGATTCACATGCGCAGCAGCACTCCCTCCTGTTTTCCGCCACAGTCTTCTAGATAAGTTTCCAGCCTCTGCCTCAAGCTTCTGAGACTTGTTGGGTAGTTACCTGGTGATTATAGGTCTAATGCCCAGGAAAGGGCTCCAAGAAATGAAATTCTGGGAATCCAAACGGGGCAGGACTCCACTTCCTCATAACCCATTAAGCCCCAAATATTCAATTCTGTAAATATTTCAAAGAAATCAGTAGGGGTACATTTTTACTGATTTTCCTGTAGCACAACTAGCATTTTCTTCATAATTACATGGGTAGTTAGTTCATTGACTATCCAGTGCGATGGTTATGTGTCCCCTAAAGTTCCATGTGTTATGTGCTTGATTACCGATTTGTGGCCCCTACTAGAGGATGACTAATCTCTAAAAATCAAGAGCTAGTGGGAGGAAGTTATGTCATGTGGGGGTTCCCTTGAAGGGGTTATTGGAACCCCAACCTGTTCCCTTCTTGCTTCCTGGCTGCCGTGAAGTGGCTTCCTCTGCCTCACTCCCCTCATGATATACTTGTCACGAGCCCAAAAGCAATGGCCAAGTAAATGTGGACTGAAACCTCCAAAATTCTTTTTTTTAATTGGGGATCGAACCCAGGAGTGCTTCACCACTGAGCCACATCCCCAGCCCTTTTTTATTTAGAGACAGGGCCTCACTAAGTTGTTGAGGCTGGCTTTGAACTTGTAATCCTCTCTCCTCAGCCTCCCAAGTTGCTGGGATTGCAGACATGCACCACCGTGCCTGGCAAACGTCCTAAATCGATTTTACTGTTATTTATCACAGTAATGAGAAGCTGACACAGCAACAAAATGAAAAGCACAGGAATAAACCTTCATGTTTATGCAGATATGTGATGAAAGTGCAGAAAGGACTGATTTGGGAAAGGAGTCTTTTGAAGAAAGTGTTCAAAAGCTAGATACTCACATGCAAAAGAATGGACAACAAGGAGCTGGGAATGTGGCTCTGTGGCAGAGTGCTTGTCTGGCATGTGTGAGACTCTGGATTTCATCCCCAACATTGAGAAAGTGAGAGGGAAGAGAAAAGAGGGTTAAAAGAATTGAATATACATTTCTCTAAAGAACATTGAGCAAGAGGTAGATAAAAAATGTTCATCAGTAATCATTACGGAAATGCAAATCAAAGTGACAATGAAATACCTCACATCCATTTAAATAACTATTTAAAAAGAGAAAGAATTGTGGTGTGAAAAATTAGAACACTTGTACTATTTATGAGACTCCAAAATGGTACACCTGCTATGAAAACCATGTCTCATATCCTATGAAACAGCAATTCCATGTCTGCCTCTACACCAAAAAAAGAATTTAAAGCAGAGGAGTAGGAATGTGGCTCAGTGGTAGAATGTCTGACGGGCACATGTGAGGCCCTAGGTTTGATTCCCAGCAGCACCCTCAAATATATATGTAAATTTTTAAAAAGCAAAACCTCAAATCTTTATCTATATACTCATGGGAGTCATTATCCTCCATAGCAAATACATGAAATGAATGCAAAGCAATTCTCATTATGTATAGATAAAGTGTTATATATGGGATTTTATTCAGCTTTAAAAAGGAAATTCTAATCCTTTTGAAGACGGGTAAAATGGGGCACAAAATAATAAGATTCAAAACAATTTTCCTTAGAGAGAGTACTAATGAAGTTCAGAGTGCTATCAGGGGCTGGGTGTAATGGAAAATAAGTCGTTAATAAAGGACATAGAGTTTTCCCTATCTTGTAAGATGAAAAGACTTGGGCAGGGGATGTGGCTCAAGCGGTAGCGTGTTCGCCTAGCATGTGTGCGGCCCGGGTTCGATCCTCAGCACCACATACCAACAAAGATGTTGTGTTCGCCGAGAACTAAAAAAAAATAAATAAATATTTTTAAAAATTCTCTCTCTCACTCTCTCTCTCTCACTCTTCCTAAAAAAAAAAAAAAAGATGAAAAGACTTCTGAACATTCATTGCACAATGTGGACAATTACTGAACTGTACACTTTAACATTGTAATGATGATAAATTTTGTTGTCAGCATTTTAGAATTTTAAAAAAACTAGTTCCCAATTATAAATCAGAGCATATTTCTGTCTGAAGTTTTTTAACATTTACTTGTAAGTTCTTTATCTGATGTGAATGTTTTGGAGCTGAATGAGGTGGGAGTTTTGGTTAAACACTTTCCCACATTCACGGCACTCATAAGGCGTTTCTCCGATGTGAATTCTCGTATGTTTAATGAGGCTTGAGTTATATCTAAAGACTTTCCCACATTCATTGCACTCAGAAGGATTTTCTCCAGCATGAACTCTCTGATGACTAAGAACTGTGGAATTGTTCGTAAAGAATTTCTCACATTTGCTGCACTCATAATTTCTTTCTCTAATGTGAACATTTTGGTGCCGAATGAGGTGGGAATTTTGGCTAAAACCTTTCCCACATTTGTTGCACTCATAAGGCTTTTCTCTAATGTGATTTCTCCAGTGTCTAATTTGACTTGAGTTGTGGCTAAAGAATTTCCCACATTCACTACACTCATAAAGCCTTTCCCCACTATGAACTCTCTGATGTGTATCAAGTGTGGAGTGATATCTAAAAAATTTTCCACACTTGCTACATTCATAAGGTCTTTCTCCAGTGTGAACTCTCTGATGACTATTCGGTGTGAAGTGTCCATAAAAATCTTCCCACATTCACTGCATTCATAAGGCCTTTCTCCAGAATGAAGCCTCCGATGTCTACTCAGTGTGAAGCAATATCTAAAGAACTTCCCACATTCACTGCATTTGTAAGGTTTTTAACCATGTGAACTCTCTGATGAATAATAAGTGTGGAGCTGTCCATAAAGAATTTCCACATTTGTTGCATTCATAAGGCCCTTCTACAGTATGAACTTTCTGATGTCTAATGAGGATGGAGTAGTATCTAAACAGTTTTCCACATTCACTGCACTCAAAAGGCCTCTCTCCAGTGTGTATTCTCTGATGAATAGTAAGTGTGGAGCTGTACATAAAGAATTTCTCACATGCACTACAACAATAAGGCTTTTCTCCAGTGTGAACTTTCTGATGTCTAATAAGTGTGGAATGTAACATAAAGACATTCCCACATTGACTGCACTCATAAGGCCTTTCTCCAGTATGGATCTTCTGGTCACCAATAAGGTAGGACTGTGTAATAAAAGCCTTCCCACTTTGACTGCATTCAAAAGGCCTTGGCCTGGAAATTCTCTAGTGCTCCATGAGGTCAGATCTTTTTATAAAGAAATTTCTGGTGCTAAATAAGGTGGGACTTTCTAATGAAGGATTTGCCACATTCAGTGAACTCATAAGGCCTTTCTCCAATGTGAATTTGCTGGTGCTCAACAACATTATATTTGAGACTGAAGGATTTCCCATATTCACTACACTTGTAAGGCTTTTGTCTAGTATGATTTTGCTAATGCTTAATAAGGCGGGAGTTGTACCTAAAAAATTTTCCGCATTGACTGCATTCATAAGGCCTCTCCCCAGTGTGGATTTTTTGGTGCTCAAAAAACATAAGTTGGTGGCAAAAGTCTTTCCAACATAACTGCAGCCATAATCATTTTGTCCATTTTGAAAGGCCTCCTTGTCCTGGGTGTCCCGAGGTGGCTAACTGTTGACAGCCACAGCTGAAGGAGCCCCAGCAAACTTCCAGCTGATTGGCTCACGGTGGCCCCAGCAAACTTCCAGCTGCCAGCTGATTGGTTCCTCTGCAGTGATGCTCATTGGGCTGTTTCCCCGCCCTTTCAGACCACGGAGCTGCTCACTGGGGGACTCTTTTGGCTCTGCCCACGTGACCCAGCCAATCGGCCTCAAGAGCAGGAGGAGTGTGTGTGTGTGTGTGTGTGGGGGGGGGGGGGTTGAGAGGCTTGTGGGAAGCAGGTGGTGGCAGTTGGGCTCTGAGGGAATTCCTGAAGAGCTCCTGTGGTGCAGCATGTGTTCTAAAAATAAAGTTTGTTTCTGCTTGATAAGTGGCTGGTGAATTGTGCCCAGCCAGACTGCGGCAGCTAACCACTGTGAAGAGCTTTTTTCTGAAAAAGATCGAAATTGGCAGTAAAGTCTTTTCCATCCTCCCTGCTTGTGAAGGTCCTCTCTGCTATGTGAACTCCATGGTTCTTCCACAGTGATTTGATCTAAGCAGCTGCTGTTGGTGCTGGTAAAGCTCTGCCAAACACTTAACAACTTATGTTCAGGATGTGTTCCACTGCTGTGCACAGTCAGATGCAAAATGTCTTCCAAAAGTGAGCTGCATGTCTCACAAGGCTTCTGAATGGATGTTCCTACAGATACACCTTTCTCAGAAGGAATCTCCTTATCTACAGCTCCATGCCAACAACCTGTAAGAATAGATATACTAATAATAGGCAGGATCACTTTAGTTGAAACAGGCAGAACCATAGTAAATTTCGGATACACACACAGATTGGTCCAGGGGATTACTGACATAAATTAAACACTAAAGTCGATGAGTGAAAGACCTGCTGGACAGAGTTGGGCCTAGCACATTCCCACCACCAGAGAGCCCTACAATAGGTAAAAATGCAAGGAGGGATAAAGAATAGGGAGGAGGGTCAGCCCTCAACTGACTGCTCTTCAAATGGCCTTAAATGAGGCTATGGATACAGATAACTGGTGAGCAGATATAGAAAGTCGTGTCCAGACCCAGGGATATAGCTGACTTATGTAAGAGTGGCTGGTGTATAAGATCTCAAAACACCTTGAGTCAAATGCTAAGAGAACCAGAAAGAGTTAAAAAGAAGAGATTTGGCAAGAGGTGAAGGCCAGAGATGTGAAGAACTAGGGGCTATAAGTAAGAGGGGGAAATGAAATGGGGAGGAGAAGTAGAAACAAATATGTCACAGGCAAGGGCATAAAACTGAGCTGGCCTACAAGTATGATCTGCATTCAGTTCTCATCAATCTTCTTCCCAGCTCCTACCCGCCAGGGCTATGATGGTTGAACTTCTCTTGTCATTGTGGAGTAAATCCTGGCATTCCACCCTGACAGGACCCAGGCACTGTCCCGTGCTTAAGGTGAGCAACTACCTAAGCCTGGCCTTGGCCAGTTCTAGATGAAAGAGGAAAAGGGAAAAGCCAGCGTATACCTAGAGCATATAACCCAGAGTATTCTCCATCTAAAATTATACGAATTTCCATTGGAGAGTCCTGCAGAAATGACTCTCTAATCCTCACATGTAGTGACCAGGTAAATGCCTGAAATTCCTGGCACTGGCAGGCCCTAAGCATGCCAGCAACATGAAAGGAGGGAAGGCACAATTTTCATACACCTGAAGAGTAACCTGACCAGGAACAGGCAAGGTTGCTGGGTTCTCTTAAAACATTTCTGACTTCTGAGCATTAAAAGCTAGAGTAGCAGGGGAGACTATTTGGGCAGAAGTGGATACAGTGCACAGAACCAACCTCTGGCTCCCACAATAGTCTGGTAGGAAACCAAGGAAGGAGACAGCACCCATGGCCTGGTGTGGCAAAGACAGAACTTAAGATCAGCTCTGTCTGGGGGGGTGGGGGGGGAGCGCCCACCTCAGGCACTGGCTGAGGGACTTACCTGGTGAGGACAAATGTGCAAAGTTCTCCAGCATCACATCATGGTACAGGTGCCTCTGAGCCTCACTAAGGAGTTCCCACTCCTCCTGGGAGAAATATATGGTCACATCCTCAGAGACCACATGGACCTGCCAAAATTATGACATCAATTATGAGCAGCTTCCTGTTCTGTGTTTTCAAATTTGTATATATTTGTTCTGCATCTATTAATTGTAGGGCCAAATGGCCAAATTTGTTTCCAGTTCCACTGGGATCCAGTCCATATTTTGAACCACTTCCTTACTTGGCGCACACATCAATATTTCCCTACACTAATCAACCTGATGCCTGGAACCTTATAACCAGGGATAGTCCCTATGCCCCAAAGCTTGCCGACTAGTCAAATTCGACAATCTTAAAACCGTTTCACTCTGCCCTGCCTTGCCTTTCCTGCCAAGACCCTCATGGAGCTTCTGAGGCACCCTTTCTCTCAACCCTGCATCTGCCTGTAGACCACATCTACTGCTTCCCTTCTGGCCTTTGCTGCATGGTACATCCTTAGCACTGGAGAAATATCAGAAATAAATTTCCTTTCAATATCATTAGCTATCATTCAAATTCACAAAATTAAAATTTTATGGGTGCAAACAACGATGCATTTCCTCTCCAGGATCTTCTGGCTTCCCCCATTCCAACCCACATATCCATTCCCTACTAAGCCTCTAGCCCACCCCCAATGAGGAAGAAGTAACAGGTTCTGGTGGTCCTGCGGCCTGCTTTTCCCTCATTTCCACTGATTAGGACAAAGAGGTGTGAGAGAGGGAAGAAAAGCTTCATCACAGCCTGCTAAGTGGGGCCCTAACCCTCCTATATCAGCCAGTCTCCTTGGGATCCTCCATTCTTGTCTTCCAGAGAATCAAATTTAGGCTCATTTCTCTCCCTTAAGTGCCTGGAGGGCCATCCATTCACAATCCTGACTGCACATCACTCTGGATGGCACCTCCCTCACATCTCCAGTTCCTCCACCCATTTCATCCACTCTTTCAGTCTGCACCACAGGCATTTATATGTGACCTCCCAACACAGCACTCTGTACATGGAATCAAGGAGGCACATGACAGATGCAACAAAAATCCTAGCTGCACATGTAATGACCAAAATGTCAAGCTTCCCTAGTGCTTGGAGCAGCCCCAACCCCTGCTCTAAAGGTCTCCAATTTTGCCCTGCTTCTTGCTTTAAATTCAATTACCAAACCTACATGACAACTTCACAGTTCTCCCTCACCTCCACTGAATACCAGATCTGGGATGTCCTCTGATTTACACCGCACATGCTGTCCCATTAACAGTATGACCTTCTGTGGGAAGCCATTCTCGCACGTGATTGGGCACCTCCCTGATTGGGTGTGAGGCATTCTGGCTAAACTGTGTTGGAACTAATCCCCACCCACTCTAGGTGCGAGAGCCCATCCGTGTGGGGGTGTGACTGACCATTGACCCTGAGACCAATCACTGACCCTGACCTTGGAATGCTGTCCCCCTTGACCTTCATCGGATAGAATTTTCCCCTGAATTTCTTGTTCCCCAATAAAAGGCCACTCCCTGGCGTGCTCTCTCTCTCTCTCCTGCTAGTCCTGAGTAAGCCTCACTGCCCCACCGGGAGCCAGAGGAGAGAGCCGTCTCAGACCTGGTCAAAGAAAAAGGTAAATTGAGTTTTGTGTGTTTATTTTGATCTCATTAGTCAACTTCTATGCTATGAACCTCTAGTATGAAGCCAGCGTGCTGGTCGTGCGGTGGAACCTTCTCTCTCTACCTATCTCTAATCAAAGATCAGCTGCACTCAGCTCCACATTCTCACTCTAGGCTTAGCCATGTTTGTGGCTGATTCCGCTTTCCCTCAAAGTGATCTGATGGCCTAAAAGAAACTACCTAGTTTCTGGCATGGGCAGGCCCTAAGAATGCCAGCAACATAAATGGAGGGAAGGCTCAGTTTTCATTCACCTGAATAGAAACCTGACCAGGAACAGGCAAGGTTCTTGGGTTATCTTAAATAAAATTTCTGACTCCTGAGCGTTAAAAGCTGGAGTGGCAGAGAAGGGGACTATTTAGGGAGAGGTGGGTACAGTACACAGAGCTAGCTATAGTCTGTAGGAAACCAGGTGAGTTAAAAGGGCTAAGAGGCAGACCATGGAAAATGGATACTAGTGGTTCTGCCCTGCCTGGAGCAAAGTG